TGTGTTAACCCTTGAGATTGGCCCATCCTCTGTATATATACTTACAGAAGAAATTACTAAATGTATTTTTACATCAAACCATGAAACTCCAAGACTGATTTTTCTGAAAATAACTCAAAAATATCATGAAACAAATACTTTCATGCTTCAAAAGATCATAAAAGAAATGTAAATCTAGAGCCAAAAGTGATCCTTCTTTAGTCTATAAACAAGAGAAGGATCACTGTAGTATCTAGGGGGAGGTTTCATATACACCATCTCCTTCAGCTGGCAAAGACAGACAAAAGTGATTCTTCACATTTTGCTGATAAATGGAGCAAGAGTGTACAACTGACAAAGACAAAAGAACACGAACTGGGCATCTTAAAGATAAATACTTTGCCTTTCAGCTTTTGCAATGATCAATTCACGCTTTTACCATTTTTTTTGTTATATCATAATATGGAGGTCTGGGAGTAAATACCAAGAATCTATTCCTTAGACATACTGAATTGATTTATCTCTTATTTCAATAATTTATTATTTATTTCTGTTTCATATTTATGTTTTTGTCACACCCTTTTTCTTTTTCTTTTACATTTCAGATTCGACGGAATTGATATTGATTGGATTTGATGGGAATACATATTTTCTGGCCTTATTTTTCATTTGTAGGTTTAATGCTACAGACTTCTTGGAGAAACTCAGAGGTAAAAGGCTGATGCTGGTTGGTGACTCTATGAACCGGAACCAATTTGAATCTATTCTGTGCCTCCTGCGTGAAGGCCTTCAAAATAAGAGCAGAATGTATGAGATACATGGGCATAAAATAAGTAAAGGACGAGGCTACTTTGTCTTCAAGTTTGTGGTAATTTTACCTTTTCCATGTCCCACATTAGTTGGAATACCATGTGAAAATTGGTAGATTTGACTCRTGATATTATTCATGTAATATATTGATTGACCAAAAGTTTTGAAATGCCAGAGGTCTAGTCATTCCATTGGAAATTTCATTCCCGTCATGTCCTTAATTAAAACCTGTAAGATAACATGGTGAGAGGTAGTTATTGGAAAATCCGTTTCTCATACTGGTTTTTTGGGGACAGGACTATGACTGTACAGTGGAGTTTGTTCGCTCACATTTCTTAGTAAAGGAAGGCTTTCGTATTAATTCCCAGGGAAATTCAAATCCAACCCTGTCAATTGACAAAATTGACAGGACTTCTGGCCGATGGAAACGTGCTGATATTCTTGTCTTTAATACTGGACACTGGTGGACTCATGGAAAGACTGCTAGGGGGTGTGTACTCTTTCATTTATTGTGCCATTTCATGTTTTATTTTCTATTTGTTGCTTGTAATTACATTGCATTGTAATGCTTAACAATCTCACGAAATGGATGCCACTGATACAAAATGGATGTTGGTGGTTCAGGAAGAATTACTATAAAGAAGGAGATTTTATCTATCCTCAATTTGATGCTGTTGAAGCCTATAGGAGGGCAATTAAGACTTGGGCAAAGTGGATTGATAAAAATATAAATCCAGCAAAGCAGTTGGTCTTCTACCGAGGATATTCCTCTGCCCATTTCAGGTCTGAACATTTTCCTCTGTTGAAATAGTTTATTTTTCGTTTTTTTTCACCTTACTGAGTTATAATTTGTATTGTCATTCATCTATCAGAGGTGGAGACTGGGACTCTGGTGGGACCTGTAATGGAGAGACAGAGCCCATCTTGAGTGGGGCCTTCCTTGGTAGCTATCCTTTGAAAATGAAGATAGTGGAGGAAGTTATCCGTGAAATGCAGGTCCCAGTTAAACTGTTGAACATTACCAGATTGACAAATTTCCGCAAGGATGGACACCCATCAATTTATGGCAAGTATGTACCAGCGGGGCAAAAAATTTCCTCAAGGAAGCAGGACTGCAGCCATTGGTGCCTCCCAGGCGTTCCAGACTCATGGAATGAACTTATATATGCAAATCTGGTTTTACAACAAACCRCCTCAGATTAGTCGGAGGTTTCTTCTATATGTTCTCTTTCCAATTGCTTATTAATTATTGATATTACCTTCAGAAAATGTAGGGAGAAAAGAGAAGCAAAGGTTGGTCATCTATAGGACCCATTAAAATACATTAATAGTTGTGTATCATGAGTTCTGTTTCTATTGTGTACTAATTGTTAAGAAATGGTGGCATATCCTTTGACTGGGCCATAGTCCACTAAGAGAACAGAAGAAAATATCATTGGCGGTTCATAAAGTTCTGATGCTTGAACCTTTCTTCTGATTAGGAGGTCATTGTATTATTGATGATTGCAGGTAAAGTTGATGAAGACTTGTTAGACCTATTACAGATATTTAGCCCATGGCTGCATGGTACATTTACARAAGGCCCATTCAAGCGGTAGGTACATGGTGGTAGTTTAAGTGGAATCTTTCATTCATCACATAGCTGTCTATGAATGCCCAAAAGTGGATTCCATAATATTTCAATGCAAAGATGGCCAATCAAATGA